AATATTTGAAATCTACCTTCATATTTATGTCTTAGAGATCCTGAGGAAAAGGGGCAATGTGGGAAAATGAATATTATGTTGAAGACAAGAAAAAATCAGTTAGAAAACAAATATAATGAGATAATTATCTTTAGCTGGATATAGATTATAAGGTAAGATAAGTAATCAGCTCTTGAGAGAACAGAAATGTGAAATGATTGTGTGCTTTACAAAAGGAGGTGCTCAGCACTTCGTCTCTCATTTTGGCCTAATATCACTCTGCATGACTGAAGGCTCGGTTACCGCCACTTCACAAATGAGTCAAGGGAAGTGCTACGAAGTGAATGACTTTCCCATAACTGGCTTCTCTAAGTGTTTCTCTGATGGGCAGTAGTTTTTAATTTTCTTACATTTATTTTTTGCTTGTTCAAAAACAAAGGAAAGACAGACAGAGTGGACTGGAGGTGTTCTTAGAAAGGGTCAGCTCCCACATTTCTGCTCCCCTTTTGTGACCTGTATCCTCAGATTCTCTGACTGCATTCTCAGGAAGCCAGTAGAAATAGCCAGTTAATCTAGCAAACCACCTACTATCGCTTAGCAGAAATTCAGGCAAATTAGTCCAAGGAACTACATGGACATAAAGATTAGTATTTTCAATTTTTAACTTTGAGATGGAATTTTACTATATTTAAAGAATACAAATGAAGTGTATTTGCAAAGATAAAGGTTCTGATGGGTTGGAAAGGGAAGGCATAATTTGCAAAATCACATTTTGTTATTCTAAAAGAGGGCAAATTTTAGTATACTAAAATTCCCAATACATTTATGAATTCCCCAATGTCTTTTTTAAAAAACAGAATTGAAAGAACTTTGAAAATATGTTTCTTTTTCCCCTTTTAAGCACAGAGAGCATAACATGAATAAACTGATAATAACTTGAGGTTTCTGTTCACATAAAATAATAGGAATATAAATCTATTCCACCTGAATGCCATGTAATAACGCTACATAAGAATTAATAAATTCTTATTTATTAATAATTAAGAATAGAATTAAGAATTAATAAATACTTATCTATTTCCTCTTATTAATATATTTTCTTGTAGTCTCAAAGTAACCTAGTTATCAAATATCTCTCTAAATTTAAATCACCCAGAACCATTTAATGTGGCAACTACCTAGTAGCTCAAGGATTAGGTAAAATTATTCTACCCAGGTGAGGTTTTGTATAAAGTGTGGATCTCTTTACATTTGTTGTTTAGCTTTGCAAACATTTTAAAGTTGTATCTTATATCATTGGGAAATTACTCCAAAGAAAATACTCCATTTATCTGCAACCTTCAAATCTTCTGTTTAGAGGCCATATAGTTATTTATAGCACATTTCAAATGTTCCCTGCCTTACTGTAGTGATGAAAAAGGAAGACTCTTGTCCTAGGAGTGGATAAACTTAATTTGTTAAATTTGGCCAAAGAATACAACATCTGGCATTCAGAGAGCCTACTGTATATGAACTTAAGGTGTATTAATATTTCAGGTAAATACAATACATCAGGTCTAGTTCTCTCCTTGCTACACTGGAGATGAACTGTGTTCGAAGAGCAGAGTTTTGGGAAAGGCCAGGCAGGAAATGAGGCTGGGAGCAAGATGCAAACATTGCTTCATGACAGTGGGATAAGCAGATACTTCAGATACTTCTGTTTTGTTGCAGCAGTGCCATGAGTTGTGAGAAGCTACTCTTGATTCTCCTTAGGTAGCAAAAAAAGAAGTGGGGTGGGGGGTTTACAAGCTGATTAGGCTGAAGGAGATGGGTTTTTATTCACTGTCTGCGGGGTGGGTGGTTGTACTGTTTACTAGAAGCTTAAAGGTGTTTCAGGGTTTAATCTGGATCAAACCAGGAAGAGTTGCAGGGAACTCAGGATCTACAAGGTGAACATCCCATTTTATGGATAAAAAAATACAATCGAAGGAAGTGATGGCATTTCTGTCAGGCCAGGTGTGGAATCCAAAGCTTGAGATATACTACATCAAATTGCTGAAGCAGAAAGCCCACATCAGAGGAAACAGTGGCAAATATTCCACCTGAGAAAGAAAAAGATTTTCCATGGAAACCTTGTTTCTCCCTAAGGGGAGCACCAAGGGAATGTCTCACTTCACCACCTGCCGGATGGCCATGTCACACAGGCGGCGGTTCTCTCCCGCTCCTTGGTTCTGTCCTCCAGACCCCTAGAGAACATTCCTGTGCACTCTCCTGAGTTTTCCTGCAGCCTGTACTTGCAGGTATCACCTTGAAGCTCTACCATGGATTTCTGGACAATGTGACCAATAGTTATCAAGTGCCGATTAGTTGTGAAGTCCTGTGCTAGGTACAGGAGTCAGGGCAGCTTCACAGGACACCGTCCCTGCCTGCCCTGAACTGTCTACTCTAGGGGACGAAGACAACATAGAATCTGATCATGTGTATCAGGGGACATGGCAGAAGATGAGATGGCTCTGGGGTAAAAGAACAGCAATGGCACTAAACTCAGATGGAGGGAGGAAGAGACCAGGGAAAGGTGGGAGAACTAGGGGAGCAGGGCTGGAGGTCAAGTTTCCAAGAGAAAGTTGGCAGGACTAGAAATGCAAGGAGGAATCAGACAAGGGAGGGGAAGAAGGAGGGGCCAGGAGTGACAGCGGACAGTGGTTCACACAGAGGACACAGCCCTACCTCGGAACTCCTCTTCCACAAACCAGCCCATACCTTCTCCTCAGACCCCACCCCTGCCCCCATCTCCCTCTTGTTTGTCTTTTGGACTTTTCAAAGTCAGGCTCCATTCCTGTACTGCTGAGCTCCATTTTACAATTTTGCTAGACAGAGCCTCTCCGACCTACAAAACCCAGGCTGCTGTACTCCTGCCTCAGTTGCTCAGTGAATACGCACAGAATGAATCTCTACTGCCAGCACCTAACTGTGGTCTGCAACACCTCACGTCTAAACTAGAGCCCTGGCCTGAGCGGGCCTTCCTGCCTCCTGCCTCTGCCACACATCTGATGGAGTTTTCCATCATTGCTTGAGTACACGGGGCTCTTCCAATTACCCTCTGTGATTCAATTCTGGCCATCCTTTATGTTCTAGACCAACTCCATCCCTCCTCTTACAAGACCTTTACTACTCTGGCTCTCCCTTCTCCAGTTCTCTTTGGCCTTCAGGGTCCATGCGGTCCTGTCTCTCCAATTAGACAGTAACTTCCCAGGGATAGAGCATTGCCACATGGTCCACTCCAGAAAAGGGCTGAGAAAGTGGTGGGCTTCACCTATCTTTGAGCAGAGAGAACCCCATTACCGCAGGAGAACTGAGAGGTCACTGGGCAGCAAAGCTGACCAGCAATGAAGTGGAGCACCTGAGAGATGATGCATGGAAATTGACGACTTGGGAGAAAAGCTCGCCCAGGGTCTAAGTCAAATCAAGTCAAAACACATCACTGGGTTTTCCTTTGTTTGCTTTACAGCTGGTTTCACTGGAACACGAAAGAGTTAGGGGTTTTTGCCTCTCCACATGTAACACTGCCTCTGAATATAACACTCCTTAAGTTTCCACTAGAACAGAAAAGGGAACTGTTTTGCAATCAATTCAAAGGAACTATTTAGGAAAGTTTCATTTACTCATACAGTTGTTTATAGTTTTCTTATTTTGAGATTATAAAAAGAATCAAAGATCTGAGAGAAAATATTTCTGGTATGGTTGTATCCCTGATAAAAACTTAAAAATTAGCTACTTTCAGAGCTATAAACTTTCAAGTTTCAGTAACATCTATACTTTTGGGGGAAATTTCCCCTTTAGCATTTCTTCATATAAACCATCTGCAGGGAGATACTACTCTACAGGCTCATCTCAACTCTGTAGTGGGGCTGTTTCCTCAGGAGGGTTGGTTTATTCCCTGCTGGCAGGTCTCCAGGGGTAAATGAGGGTTACATGCACTTAGGGGCTATGCCAAGGTCTTATGCAGGGTGTCTGCCCTTTGCCAAGGAGAAGAGGGGGACTCTGCCAGGAAGGTCAAAGTTAGGGTCTACAATGAGAATAATAGGAAGGCCTTTGGTGCTCTGGTAACTAATCCCTCAAGAAGCATAAACCAGACACCAAAGTTCCCCTCTGACATATAGTCCCCAGATACCTGCCTACTTGAGAACCATAAGGCAGGGAAGTGAAACCAAGAAGCATTTTTTGAAGGCTTATCTGTGTCAGCAGCACTCTTTGCAGCAGGTGCAAATGCTATTGCTGGGCTCCAATGTGCTCTTAGGAGTCCATATTTTGACAAATCTTAGGGGGGCCTGAGGAAACTCCTACTTTTATTTTTCAGGATTTCTACAGCTACAATACACATGACTTCAAAGAAGTCAGTACTTTCAAAGGAAACTACTAGAAGCCCTTTGGGTTTACAGTATTTCTAAACTTGCTTTGGCTCCTGGGATCCCCATATTCCCTGGGTTCCTTGTTCCTATTTCCTTTCTGCATTCTTTTACTCAGCAATGCCCATATCTTTGCTCTTTTTTTTTTTTTTTTGAGACAAGATCTTGCTTTGTAGTTTAGGCTATCCTTAAACTCACTATGCAGCCCAGGCTGGCTTTGTACTCACGGCCAGCCTCCAGTCTCAACTCCTGAGCGCTGGGACACAAGTATGCACCACCACACCCAGCTATTGTCTGTTTTTTTAATTGATCAGTTCCCGACCCACACTAACTCTCAGGTAGACGAAAGGGCAGGAATGGTGTTTTCTCTGGTGGCAGCACAACCTTGCTCAAGTTCCAGGTTGGCAGGTAAAAAGTGGGCAACCTCTCCTAACCATAGCACTCCACCCACCTCTGGAAACCTTTTACTGTCCCCTTAAACTGGCTTATGTCAGTGGGATCTTCCTGTTGGTAAAGTCCCTGTCCTTGTGACGACTGGTTGTGCAGATTCCTCATGCAGGAGGAGTGGTGTCAAAGACGAGCCAGCAAGAGCCTGTCCATGCGGAGCCTGCGGCAGCCCAGAGTGCAGGTGCTCACCTGAATGAGGAGATCGATAGCGGAAGTCCTCTTTGGTCAGCAGCAGGAGCGCTTTGCCGTTCATTTCAAATGTGTTGCTGTCAATTGGCCTTAAGGAAAACTCATTTTCAGCCCACTTGAGCCACTGGGCTACGTCATCCCTGCTCCAGTAAACTGGCTGCAAGCCTGTTAGGAAGAGAGTGAGGCAAAAGGAAGAGAAAAAAGGTCCCGTCAGTCAGTCTGTTGGAACAAGGGGAAGATCTCTAAATAGTTAACAAAATCAAGTCTCTGCGTCTTAACAGCCCTTCTATTCAATTCTAAATCCCAGGAAGAAACTCTAGCTTCATAATTGCTTAAATGTGCTGTCAGATTAATTTTTTATTTAGAGGCAAAATAAAGGAGAAAAACACACTTAAATGTGTCTAAGAATGATAGGTCTTAGAGCCCTGCCCTAAGGGGGGTCTCAGGCACACAAGGGACCCAGAATCCTGACAAATCTATGTGCTTTGGATAGGACCTTAGAATCAAAGCAGGTCTCATGTATCCTGAGTCTTTCTGAAGTGAGAATGTTCCAGAGCTAGCCTTGACCTTCCAGAACTGCCAAATGATGAAGTGTTCCCTGAAACTTCTTCCAGGAAGAGCGATTCACTCAGGCTCTGGGAAACCATCAGCTGGCCTCTGGGAATAAGAGGGCAAGGTAAGGATGAAAGGTCTTCTGCCTCTTAATGGACGTGCTGATGTCAGAAGTTCCCAGTGAGGATGGTACTTGGACTGACCAGGACCAATGTGGGCTGGAGGAGGCCTAGAAAGGAGGTTGATAGGGTGATCAGCTTGACACCCCATCAACCTGATCCTGTCAACCAGGGTAACACTGTAACTATAAGCCTACATTTTTATTTTGCTTTGCTATTGTGGGAAATCTCTGATATGGCATTCAAGGAATTAGGAAAGTCCTTCTCAAAGTATGATCCCAGGATCCCTGATGGTTCCCAAGATCTCTGTAGCATGTCTGTGTAAAATTCTTTTCATAACAATATTGAGAATTTATTTGTTTTTATCACTCTCCTACTTTCATGAGCATACCTACAGGACAAGTGATACTGCAACAAGCTGGAAGCAGGCACAGTGAACAGAACCAGGCCATCCTCTATTAAGCTAGGTGTTAAAGAGACTTGGAAACATGTACAACATTGCTATTCTTTGCACAATTTTTTTTTTAGCGGGGACACACATTTTGGATCCTGTGTCCAAAACAACAAAAGGCTAGGGATGCAATGTAGGTCACTGGGGTTTCCTGGTTGAATTCCTAATAACATACACAAATGGCTTATTATTTTTAAATTAATGAATACTTTTAAATTCTCAGTTTTAACTTATAATATGGCAAAATTAGATAAGATATAACCCACATGAGCAAAAGCTCTTTAGAGTTTTTAATAATTTTCAAGAACTGAAAAGAATCCTGACAGCAAAAGTTTAAGAACCACTAGGTTGGAAGAAGGTAGATGCTCAGAGAGTTCCAATCCTGAAAATTAAGTAGTAAGAACCAATAGTTTCAACAGAGCACCGTGGAATCACTGTGGGCCAAGAAGAGCTCCAGTCTTTCAAAAGAAGTTACTTAAACTTAGGGAGACCCCGGAACATGTTGTAAAAGTGTCCTCAGGTTCAATCCTGGAAGGAATCACCTTTCATACGACATCAGGCAAGACAGAGCACCAATGTGTTGGATGTGCTGGAGTGGGGGACAGGTGGCTCCGGTCCCCTGGAGATGTCCACAGCTCTGGACACGACTAGTACAGCCTCTGCAGAATATAGTTCTGAAGATGGGTAGCTGGCTTCTTCCAACTCTAGAAGTCTGTTCAAAACCAGTCCGTCTTGTAAGGGACCCATAAAAAACTATCAGCCATTGGGACAGATAGCCCTTAAGAATTTTTAAAGTAATTTTTAAAGTAATAAATTTTTATAATAATTTTTTTTCCAAATGGAAAAAATAAACAGCACTATGGAGTAATGATTTGCAGTACATGATTGCTTTATGACCTTTGGAATAAAACATGGGCACTAAAGGATCCAAGGTTTTGTTTCTGACTCTTGACTGGGCCAGAAAGTAATGCCTATTAAAAGTAGTCCCAGGTAAAGGTGTGCCCACCTCTTCCCAGTGACCTTGGACATGCATATCTGGAACCACGGTAAAATGGGATCAGCAGCCAATCTCACTTCATTTTTTTTTTTTTTTTCTGAGACAGGGTCTTGCTATGTAATTGAGGTTGGCCTGGACTCACTACGTAGCTGAGGCTGGCTTGAAACTCAAAGTGATCCTCCTGCCTCAGCCTCCCAAGTGCTGGGATTACAGGCATGCACCACCATGCCTGCCTGGAAGCCCATTTTTGAGCCAGTTAAAACCTTAAAGCTTACTTCCTCCCATCAGTGGTGTTGGAGAGGAGAAGAGCGCAGTGAGTCGTTATTGCACATGCCTGTCCTCTTCTCCCTCACAGGAGGAGCAGGAGTGCAGTGGCCCTTAGGCAACAAACAGGAGGTTCCAGTCAAGTGTGGCCCAGGAAAGCACCTGGCAGTGGCAGGGCCAGAGAGCAGAGGGTGCTCATACAGAAACAGGCAAAAGCATGGGCAGCTTGTGGAAGTGCAGGCGCCGAAGTGAATACAGAACTGAATCCCGCCAAGAAGGGGAAATGAAAGTAAAATGCTGAAGTTTCTGCAGGGGACGCAGGCGGTGAAGCACAGGGAGGCGGTGAGAAGGAGGTGGGGGGCGCAAGTAGTAATCTGAGGTTCTTTATATTCTATGGAAGAAAATACTCATGAGTAATCTTTTCCCTAAATATAAGAGTCACATACTCCAAACAGCACTGCCCGTTAAGAACAACAGTTTCTCTTCTCACTTCCCATTAAGCTCTCCCACAACTCAGCCCTAGAAGCAACCAGGCCCACAGCGGAAACCCCCTCACCAGAACCCAATGCTGCAGGCTCCACGCTGGTGTACGAAAGGGACCCACCAGCGAGTTCCAGGGAATGCGGGGCCATCCTAGCAGTTTTACAGACGCCGTCAAGGTGGAACAAGCTACCTGCTCCAAGCCATTCAATAAATTGATCAGTTACTGCCCTTGCATTAGCCTAAAGAGACGTGGACAGCCCACTGAGCTGGAGCGAGGTCAGATACATTTCTGCGCTGAAAGTCTGGTCCCACTGCTATTACCTTTTTAATTCAATAGAACAAAGAGGTTGTGGTATATAATGTGCTTTGCAATTCTAATTGAAGAAAAAGAAGCCATTTCTGTCAAACCTGGGGGCCCTCTAAGGCCTGTGTGTCAAAGAATCTAACTGTAAGTAGAATAGAGCCTAGTACCCGGAGGGGACTCTGGTCTAATAAGAGACCATGTAATTTACTAAATAGTCATTCAAGAAGCACTTCTATGCACCTAGCATGGTTCTAAGCACTTTAGAAATATTAGTTCATTTAACTGCATGCTCATGCATCCCACGAGACTGGGGGTTCAGATTAGGAAACTGAGGCTCAGTACATTTAGGGGATTTGTCCAAGGGTGTATGGCCCTAGAACAAAATGAGCTGAGCTCAGAATCCAGACACACGCTTCTAGAGTCTGTGTTCTTATCCATTACTCTGCTTACCCAAACGCTCCACAACCAGACTCAGAATTGAGTCTGGTTTTCAACATCTATTCAGGATTTTAAAAAAGACTTGAGTGAATTGATTCTTACACAGCTAAGACTAAGATCCTTGGAGCCTTTCTCAAGTTACTAACAAACTAAAAGCATAGCAAGAAGAAAAAAAAAGGATCTGTAGATCCCCGGAGAAATAGATTTATAGATGGGGAGAGGAAGGAGGTGTAGGTGGGACTCTGCTTTCACTGCACCAAGGAACAAGGCACCACTTTTACAGCTGCTTGAGCACAGCACGCACCAGTGCTGGGTTTTGATGGCTTCTGTGATTCCCAGCCATTAATGGGATAGAACGTGTACGAGCAGGATGAGGGAGGGATACCTACAACGTGTTTTACAGTTGTCCCTTGCAATTTTACCTCCAAGTTAGATATAATGTTAGTGATCATTAAGAAAAAGAAAAAAGGACAGAGAAAGAGACAGAGCAAGAGTGCATTCTTTTGCACCTGTGAGAGCATTCCTTGTGCATATAACAAACCTGTGAGGGCCATTTATAAAGACCAGAATTTTTAATGCCAAGTAATATGAGGCTGTTTGGGAAAGATTTTGTATGAAGGAAGCGAACTACTATGATAAAGAAATTACTAAGAATTTCACTGCAGTTCAAGGGAAATCAAGTCAAGTTCTGGTACGGAACCCTTCAATGATACATTTGCTTGGACTCTTAAACCTTCTTGATTTTCCCAATTCTATGTTCAAAGGGGCAGCCACACACATCAGGACATTCTGACCCTCATTTCAGACTTTCTGAGTTATGCTTAAACTTGTGATGAAAAGCGTTCTGGGAATCAGAGCGTGGATTTTATTCCCAGATCAGCCACTAATTAACATGTGATTCTGGGCAGGCTGCTCGACTTCTCATTGGCTCACTGGCTTCATTTGTAAAATGAGGAGCTTAGTGTCTGCGATCACTATTCCCTTCAGGCTTACTACAGTCAATATGCTCCTATTTAATTTGGATCTTATAAACCAAAGAATACACACAGAGAAGAGCTTTTCTTTTTCCTACAAAATTACTCTTTGTTCATGATCATGACCCTAAGACCTTGAGATTTTGTAACTTCCTGAAGGATCTTCTGAGTCATGGAACATAGATTAGTGCGTAAGACTATTTTATTATATTCTAATTCTCTGGAAAACTCTAAGTCAGCCATGGCAGTGATAAACAAAGCGGTCTGCGTCTCTGGAATTGATCTGTTGCTTCCCCACACATTACCTTGTATAATTCCCACAACTGTCTCCCGAAGTTAGCTGCGTTCTCATTTCAGTTTAACAGATGAGGAAACAGAGGGCTCAGAGTCAGTAGATGTGGTTTGAGCAATATTTGGCTCAAGCTCTCTCTTTTTATTTGGTGGTGTGGGGGTTGAACATAGGACTTTATGCATGTTCGGCAAGTACTCTTACCACTAAGCTCTATCCCTAGTTCCCAAGTGTAAGCACTTTGGGTATTGGAGGTGTTCACCAAAACCACCCTTTACTCCCAACTTTCTGTAT